AAATACAAATTGGCAATTAATCCAGTGCACTCACATCACAGATTTGCTTTCCAAACTCAAAGACCTCTTGGATTCCATGATCATGAAAACTTTTTAATTGTGATAGAAAATGTCTTATGTCCACAGATGTGCCAAAATCATAAACCAATCATAAACATGGAACGCTTCGAACTGTGGATATCCATTTGTAGGCGAGAATTCCAACGTCACACTGTAATCGCATATAGTCGCTTCTGTCTCTTGTACAAATGTTTCTTCGTTGTGAGACGCACCTGACTCTATTGGTCATCTGACTGCTAGTTCAGTGGAAACGACAGACTATGGAATCGAGATAGCTGTGTTAGAACGTTTTGTTGAACGCTTGTTCCGGTCAAACTTTGTTGATTTGGGTAATGGTACACTGTGATCATCTAGGTATCTCTCATAGTTTCTACTGTGGTATCTATGTGTCACAATAGCGAGGATAAAACACGTTTGTAATCACATTTAAAATTGTGATTGCCTTGTGTTATTTTTCACTTTTGCCGTGAACACAATTCAAGTGGGTTTTGAGTCTTTGTTTCCTCGACATCTTTTGGCCCCAAATCGTGTATTTGTAGTACGTTCGATTCTTGTCGATTATTTATACACAGAGTGAGTTCACATCACTATTTATATCAACGTCAAAACGTGGATCCTGAGGTATGAAATCGTCCAAATGCAGAGAACCTGTCAGAAGAGACAGAATAATTTTTGTGGGCTTCTCTTGAGACTGCTATCGGGCAAGCCAGCAGATTCTCAAAGTGTCCACGTGATCATCCCGTGATCGGAAACAAAGAATATTCCACTTGGCGCTCATCTTTGAATGTACTTTTCATCGGTTGATCGCTTCTGCGTGAAGTTAATTCAATTCTCAACTCTCTTGATTATTATTATAACATCTCTAAAGATGGGTTTCACCGTTGATCAATGGGGAAACGAGAAGCGTGAATGTTGTAAATTAAAAGCAAGCCGTTGGCGCCGTGGAGTTAAAAGAAGGGACAACAGTTGACATATCGAGTGGTACAAACAAGGGTCGAACGGCCATTTATAAAGCTACGATTTTGAAAGTCTGTGGTAAGTACAAATTGCAATATTCGGTACGTGATCAAAACTGAGAATCGAATCGGTCACTTGCATGGGACAGTTTCATAAGCTTACGCCGTACAATGAAATAAAAAAT